TTATTTTTTTTAAAACACATAAAATCGTATTATAACATCGACAGAGACAAAAAAATAAAATAGAACATTAAAATCGAGATATATTTCGCTGCATTGCACGAGTACTTTTCTAATGTGTGTGTGTATATGTATATATATATATATATATATATATAATCAATATTTTTTTGAAAAGAATACGAAATCCTTGACAAACTTTATTAGAGAAAATAAACAAATACGCCTAAAAGTTAAGGAGAGCCCCACCTAGTAGCAAACCAAAACAACAATTGGGACCAATAGACTTAAGTAGTAACCAAATCTGGTTACATCACTTGACTAAAAGTTATAATAAAAATAAAAAATTCCATTCGACTTTGAAACATTAAATAAAACAATTCACTCGCTGCACCAAAGCTGAGACATGTCGTTGCTTCCACAATCTCTACAAATTAAATAAAACATATCGTTCCCTAACGGGTCGGGGGTCATTCCCATACTATCTTTACCGCAAGTTCATATTGAATCTAGTATGTCAATTTTCTCTCCTATATACAAATTAATGAATACTTTATTGGTCTCGGTTAGGAATCCCAAATAGTGGTGAGGGTTAAAATTCAGAAATAATCTCGTAAGTGGTGTCGGATCTGAATCAAAAGTCGATCTGCACTATCATTACAATTTTTCTAGGTAAATACGTCAACAACGGCGAGACTCAAGTTCGCTCACATAGAAAGGGACACCCTAGTTTATGGTCAATCAGTGTTGTGGTGGAGTGGTTAGTGCCTGGGCAGTTCATAGCGCTGAACCCGGGTTCGAATCCCTCTATGCACATCCTGTGCGACATTTACCAAAGGGGCATGCTTTAGCCCTGGATGTGCCTGGGATTAGTCGAGCTTTGGCTCGGATACCCTTTCAAAAAAAAAAAAAGAAGGAGAAGCGTTCAACCTATAAGACCATGAGTTATCAGAACAATTATCGATCATGAACAATAAAATCCCAAACTTACATAATTTACGATACTAAAATGAGAAGGAAGCCTTCACCATAAGGGAAAGAACTCGGGGATCATCTACACAACAAAATTAACTCCACTATAATCAAATTATGGTGCCTATGAGTTCTCGATAGATACATGAATTACCAAAGGGCTTTTGGCCTAGCGGTATGTGAGTCTTTGACCTTCTAGGAGGTTAAGAGTTCAAACCTCATCAAAGATGATGAGGGTGTGTGAGTTTATTTGTTCTATTTGTCGTATATAAATATTATATACTTAAAAAAACAATAACAAATTACTCGTCAATTGCACCAAGAATTGAGGAAGATAAGATGTTCGAGACTTGTATATCATGCTTCAATCATTCAAACACGATCTCCACCGTTGAAAAGAAGAGCCACATCTTACAAACACGCTTTCCAAAAAGTTTGGCCCGATCAAACATGATTATACGATGACAACTATGTGAAAACCCGAATTTTTCTTGTCATTTTAACATTTATTCTTCTTGCTTAAGCCTTACTTAACTCTGTTTTACTCTAATCCCTAATGTAACGCTCTCCAGGTTAGATCGGACCATATAAGCCAATGATTTAGGGTTTCTCCACATAGGACGAAAGCTCGAACACCCAACGTTTCAATCTAATGGAAGGGCATTCTCCTACTTGGGGTCATGACCACATCCCAAAAGGGGCGAGATTTGTCTGGTTTATGTGAAATGCATTCTATGATAATTTTGGTTTTGTCACCCGGATGTTTTAATAGAAACAATTTCTTTACCCTACTTGGGGTCATGACCACCCAACATTTTGATCCAATGGAAGGACTCTCTCATACCTGGGGGCATGACCACCTCCCAAAAGGGGCGAGATTTGTAGAATTTATATAAAATGCAGTCTTTAATAATTTTTACTTTGCAGACCGAATGTCTTAATGGAAACAATTGCTTTACCCCTTGGTTTCATAAATTAAGAGGATCTAAAAGTCAATACTACAATACAATCAATTATTGGATTGGTTGGTTCCCAAAAACTACTCTTTAAAGTGCTCGTAGTGACGCACATTATGTACTATATAAGAAAAATAAGTCAAAAGAAATTAATTGTAATGAAACAAAATATACAGTTGAAAGTGATTAAAAAGTAACGTTTGAAAACAAATTTTCATCAGTTTGGTGGTTTTAGGTTTTTAATTTTATAATTTTTTTTATATAATCTAAACCTAAATTTGAATTTAATTTGCGTTTTATTTTCTAAAATTGTTCCCGAAATCATTTTTAATTCCATTATAAACTTAGAAGACAAATTTTGAATTTCAATCTGTTTTTAGTTTGAATTTGGTTTTAGCAAAGTAAAATATTAATCTGATAATAAAAATGTATAATACATTTGGAGAAAAAGTTGATTACCGACAACACCAATCGGCCTTACACGGAATCCGCCTCAAAAAACACCAATGTGAGGGTATTTTTTGACTCACTCAATAGCTGAGGCTAGCAGGGAGCATAACTTAATTGGAGACCTGTCTTGTATATGAACACACACACACACTGACACACACATTGACACTGACACACACACACACACTGACACTGACACACACACTGACACTGACACACACTGACACACACACACACATGTCCAAAAGTCGCCCGCTTCCATTTCTTTGACGTTCATGTAAATTACATGTGATTTTGTACATTAACAATATTTTTCTTGTTTTCTTAAATAGTTAGCATTCTCCGTTAAACATTACTATATATGTGTGTATATCTATATTACCTTATAAAGCAGATTTGATAAAAATCTTAAAAACAACCTTAAATGCATAAGGTACTGTTTCTTTATGCATAAAGTCTTAAAAATCTTAATTACAAGTCATTTAGGCATATGGTACGACTCAACAATGTTTCACCTTTTACAACTCATACTTTTAAGTTTTATCTTTCCCGTATTTAGTTTTGATTCGCAATAGAAATTGAAAATTTAAACCATCTACCCCTTTCAAAATTTGACCCTTTATGTTCCCAAGATTTTCATCTTACCATAAAAAACTCTCTTACCATTTCAAATGTAAACCTCATATTTTCATAATTCACGATTGATTTTTCCCAATCACCACCATTGCCCCAACTACATTCTTCCTCGCCTCCGCCGTTACTCACCGTCTCTCTTCCGATCGCACCGGCACCCTTACAACTTCCACACGTTTTTATACTTGTATAAAGGTCTTCCTTTGGTTTTTCCATTTTACTACTAGGGTTTGAGCTAGCTGCTTATTTTAAAGATTGACATTTCGGAGCTCCATATCTACATTTATAGTATTTGTATACATTAACAAACCCATTTGCTTTTAAGGGTTTCTTTGATTCAATATATTTGAGATGAGTTGTGATTTGAGTCGAGTATCTTGCTCCACCGCTCCAGTCATTGGCAAATGCTTGTATCTTGCTCCACCGCTCCAGTCATTTGGATTGTGATTAAGGGTTTATGAATAATTGTAGAACCTACTAACACCTACATTTTGAATCTAAATTAGATACAAATGTAGCAGGCTTTATTACATCTTTAAAGAATTTGATATCTCAAAATTGAATAATTTTAATGAGGTTTTTACATCTCGCTACATTGCACGAGTAAACAACTAATATATATATATATATATATATATATATAATTAATATGATGTTCGATTAGTTTAAATTAAATTATTTTATATAAGTAGCGGGGTGAATGTTTTACATGTTTCGCTTGTTAAAAGTGAGCATTTATGTTTATTGACTTTGAAGAAAAAAAATTGTTTATCCAATTAAGAAAATATAAATATACAACTAAGAGTTTTTTTTTTTATATTTAATTATGTAATTAAAAATATGGAAATAAAATATCTATTTTTTTTTTTCATTTTCTTCTCAATACTATGCATAATATAAATATTTACATTAGACGAAATAAATATTTTTAAAACATCGAAAACCATATCTAAAAGTTGATGATTTTTATTGTATAATTTTGATAATTTACTGAACAACACATAAATACAAGTTTTATATTCAAGGAATGCAGTCGTACGAATCAAACTTCTTACTCTCTATCTCAACTAACAGTTTCAAAGTAATATTGAAAATGCCTTATTTTAATATGAAAAACGAGTGTGTTAGAGATACATAAGCACTACATTTAGGGCCACTGTGGGATAGTCTCGTGAGCAATATTGTTGTTGTCGTTTCTCCAACGTCTATTGATCCACGATGCGTTCCAACCGTCTTGGGTTGTTACCACCGACGCCATTACCTTCTCTTATGTTCATGGCCTATATATTTTCCATCTGCTCTTCTTCATCCCTACTAAAACTCATGAAATTTTGATTCACTGCTACGAAATTAAAATGGTTAGTTTCGTAGTTCTTTAGGTTTTGTAAATTTCTTTTAATATGTTTTCGATTCAAATTTGGGAGTGATGGCACAAAGAATGAACATATCAAGGTCAAAAAACCCAATGCAAAGCCGTAGATGCAAAAGCTTGGATGAAGAAGCCGTTACAGATCCTTGGTAGTGATAGCTAATGGTCGCATCAGAAGAGAAACATAAACCACAACGGTGTTGTGGTCGCATGAAATGATTTTGGTGGCAATTTTTTGATTTTTTTTAAATTTAAATATTACTCTTTCTTTCTTTTCATATAATTTATTATGATTTCGTTTTATTATTAAAGTTCTGGGAATTTAACTACAAGGGTGGTGCTTCATTGGTTTGAGCTTGGCTCCAAAGGTCAAAAGTACCATGATTTCCATGTTCAAATCCAAGGAGGAATAAAAATCCTCTTGTGACCACAGAGGTTCAAATGGAGTGACTCTAGGCTATCTGCAAAGCAGGTGATCGTTCTGGAATTAATTAGCTCGCACAGCTGGTTGGATATCCAGGTTAATAAAAAAAAATTATGGGAATTTGATATCGTGGTATGAAATTAAATCTAAATTGAGGGGGTGAAATGAAATTTAATCGTAGTGCTTAGCGGATAACGGCAACAGATGCAAATGATCTAGTTGCCAAACATGAGTTCACCGCGGCGACCGCAGGCGCGTGCGCGCGTGAAATCCTCGCCGGAGATGAATCAATCGGATCTGCAATCGGGAAGTTTGGAAGCCTCGCTTCTACGGCTCTTCAATGATCATCAGAATGCCGATATCCGGCTCCGAGAACACACAGGTAAATGGAATTTGTTTCGTTTTGTTCTTTCAGGAAGTGTCGTTTTTGGGGAATTCGATTTTTGGTTGTTTAATTTGATAAATACACAGAGAAATCGAAGAAAGAGGCGATCAAGAGCGCTTCTCGTGTATCGGATCTGTTAGTGGAGGCTGTTAATGGAGATGTTGAAGAGTGTTTCGTGAACGAGAAGCGAATAGAAGTCGAAATTAGAGCATTGAAGGCTACTATTCTGCGATTTGGAAAGCAGACCAATCAGTGGCTTGCTTCTACTCATGCTATTAACAATGCTATCAAGGTTCACTTTCCTTTTCGTCTATCGCACCTCATCGACGAATCATTACTGGTGTGGATTATATTCAGGTGTTAGAACTCGTAGAAGATTACACTTTCTATGAGTTTTAACACTTGTGTTTACTTGATTAATTATAAATTAAAGTTAAGATCAAGTTTTCAAATGTGTGGTAGTAAGTTTTACAGAAAAATGCGTAACCTGAGTTGGCAACTTCAACACTGGAAAAGTTTAGTAAGGTAGATTCCTTTCAGCACTGAGTTGGCAACTTCAACACTGGAAAAATGCCTAACCTAAGATTATGCATCATTTTTTTCTTTGATGAGGAACTTTAATAGATGTTAGTTTTCAGCGTTATGACTTAAGGATAATTTCATCGGTATAGTTACTGAAATTCGGTGGAGAGTAGGAGTTCTGCAATTTGTGAAGGAAGTCTAGGGATGGTCTGGAGTTAAAGAATTATGAATCGAGTTATGGAATGTATATGTATGATTGGCCAAACTCTGAACATCATATGATTCATTCGCATGAACAAATTCTTTTAATCAAGGCGCCTGATCTTTATGATACACTTCCTTTTTTAATGTACACTGATAGTTCATTGAACTTATATTTAAGAAATGCTGTTCAACACTGCTTATGAAGAATTTGCCCCACTTCAAAGGTTTCTCAAAAAACTTAGTATATTGTTCATTTTTTATTGTATAATTACACTTCTAGGTTGATCATGATTGAATTAATTATGAGCTAAATTACATATATCTATATATGGTCAATTGTTTACACTGTAAAGGGGGCTGGATTAATTTTTAATGATGAAAGCTTTCTTGGAAAGAACCCTTTTGAATTTTGCATTCTTCTCCTACAGATACAGTAGGACTATTCTGTCCCCATAGTCAATTGTAAATATTTTCTTAGAACAGCAAGTCTACTTATTGTATGTAGCCTATTCCTATCCCAGTCCTGGAAAACATTCGATTGCAATACATGTTGCAAGTTGGCTTTAAAACTGACTGTATGAAATTAAGGGCAATCATGGATATGCTACTTGAACTAAAAACAAGCATAACTTGAAGACAAGATATTAAACATTCTTATTTATTATACCAGTTCATATGGTAGGGTTGAAATCAAAGCTATGCTACAAGCACAATGGTTTCTTTACTTTCTCCCCTTTGTTTTTCACCTACCTACATTTTTTTTTGGCATCCCACCCGGGGAGGGGACGTGCCAATAAACCAATGTTCGTTTCTTTTGTGTATTGAAAATGGAAATAATGAGAGTGGTCATGAATTTCTACTTGCTTGCACAGGAAATAGGAGATTTTGAGAACTGGATGAAGACGATGGAATTAGATTGTAAAAGCATTACTGCAGCTATTTCCAACATTCACCAGTCCTGATCACATGGTAAACTTATGCTACTTGCCAGAGGATTAATTAGGTTCTGTTGGTGTTGCTCATTTCCTTCCATTTATTATCTCGTTATAGGTGTCATCTGCTTTTATCTTCACATCATCAAAAGAAGCCATGTAATGAAAAAGATATTCTGAATCAAATGACACCTTTTCCAGTGCTAGGACCAAAACCTGCTTTAATACTACCAGATGCCTACACTTTTTGTCACACCGGAAGAATATGAAATTTCAAATAGCACAATTCAGGCCCGTGCCTGATGCCACATCTAACTTGAAGCTGGACCTTCTTTTTAACAAATGATGCATGATTTACAGGCTGTTTGGTTAGAGGTATTAAACGGTAATTAATGGGATTGATGATAAAAGAAACTGTTTGGTTTTATATAATATAATGGTTCATTCCCCCTGAAGACTAAATTCTCATTCCAGGTTAAAATGAATTTTCATTCCCTCTCATTGTCATTTTCACTACTCTGCCTAAACTAAACAGCCCCTTAAGTCTTGCTTCTTCGTTTAAAAAATCGTTGGTTCAATTTTTGGTAAGCTTTTTGAATTTCATAGGTCAAAACTTTTTCGCAAACACCTTTTTGCAAGCCGATGGTCTTCATGAAAACAAGTGCTTTACTACTTTTTCAGGTAGATGACATGTGGGATATGTTGGGTTAGTTTGGTTTGTAAATGATGCATGTTTGGAACACAACATCACTTGGCATACTCTGCATTACGTTTTTCCTGCTGTTGTGGTTTGGATGAGGGGGTTTCATAGCTGTAATCTTTGATGTTCCGTCACAGGCTTCCTAATACGATGCTGTAGTTATTACGGTAACGAGTAATAGGTATTTGATTCTAGTCTTTATTGCTAGTTGTGTAAGTGGTCAGATCTATGCCTCTTTGAATTTAGATGACTAATTTCAGGAGTATATATATATAGGAGATATTATTTGTGCCAGCAGCAGTAGTTATTATTTTGACATGATGAATTGCTAGATCAAGAAACTAAGGCCTAATGTTTGGATGACAGATTACATAATCTAGGAAAATAGTGCATGCAAATAATCAACATGAAGTTCTGCAGCTTTAACCTCGTGGGTAAGGAGGTGAGCATATTCTTGCAGAATCAGTGAGAGGTGGGTAAGGAGGTGAGCATATTCTTGCAGAATCAGTGAGAGGTCTGAGGGCAACTTGAGACACCACTCAGCTGCCCCTAAGACACCAATTGTTTAGGTATGTAACCTTAAATGAGTTTTTAATTAAATCAATCACCTCTCATAAGTATGGAGCCAATCCAATTTTCTATTAATAGGTCATATATTTAATTAAAAACACAATACCATATGTAGAAATAAGCAACCTGAATTACTTTGATTCGGGATTTTGTCTGATTGCCTAGGTGTCTTGTTTAAGAGACCTATAAGGGGAGTTACAATGAATGAATAAAACCTAGTTTTCTGTGAGAGCCACAGCGACAACAATGGCTGAAACCCTTCCTCCAAAATATCTTTTTCCCTTTCCTCAAATTCAGATACCTGGCTACCTAAACACAATCCTTCAAACCCTTTATCTTCCCTTTCTCATTTAGGGACCGCTTACCCGGTAAGCGCTTACATATAGTAATCAACTCTATAATTTATTTTGATGCGTAAAATTTTAGTATATCAAAACATATCGAATGCAACAATTTACCGGGTAAGCGCTTACCTCTGGATAAGAGTTGACATCTTCACTTATCAGGTAAAACTCTCAATTCTTCTCAATCGCTCTTACCCGGTAAGATTTTTAGCCCTTGACATGTACATCCGATGAAGAAATTTATTCGATAAGCACTTACCAAGTAAGCGTTTAGTAAACGACCCATTAGTCTCAATCAAGTTATCAATTGATAAGTATCTTATTTGGAGAACACAAATGCCTCCTTATCTCTATGGACAACAACTCTTTGGGTTTATTTATTCCTCCACCCAATCAACAACTTTAAGATGGAGCAACAACAAATCCCAATTTCATCACCTAATTTCAACAAGACCAACTCCTACTATCGCTTTATCCTGTTTGTTGGCCAAATCCTTCATCATCTGCTGTTTGATATGCTTTTGGAAAAACTTTTTACTCCCAAATCCCAACCAAGACGATTCACACCTAATTGTAATTGACACCACTAAGAAAAGGGGGGACTCTTTTATTGGAATATTACAACAAAACCCTTAAAAGACGGGTTTTAAATGACTAGTTTCATATGCTATTTGACTTTTTTTACTGATTTGCGCAACCAACCAATTAAAAGTTAGGGTCCTACCATTTCTTTAAAACCCTTAAAAAAAGTATTTTTTTTTTATATTTATATATAAATGACTAGTTAAGTTTGGTGGAAAACCCTAATTTTATTGGGTCGGGACTCAAAGATCGATTGATCAAATACGAATCTTGAGAGTGGATGGATGATCACCATTGTTGTTATAGTGCAAGATATTCAGGTTCATGCCTTTTGAGACTAACATATCTTGTAATTTTGTATTACATATAATTTTATTCAGTTCAGATACAAGTGACATACTTAGGGGCCTTTTACCAAACGCTTACCCGGGTAAGCATTTACCAAGTCACATTACCTTATCGGATGAATATGACAAAGACCAATAATTTTTCCCGCTAAAAGCGACACAAGGAACAAGAGTCTTACCCGGTAAATGAATGGGACGACTCTTACCACGGTAAGAGTTTATCAGGTAAATTATTGCATATGGTGTTGTTTTCGTGGAGTAAAATCTTACCCGATAAGTAAGTAATAATGTTGAATTTTACCGATAAACACTTATCGGGTAAGTTTTTAGTAAACGGCCCCTTAGTTGACCAAATTGCGAACATTATGATTACAAACAAAAAAGGGTAATTATGGAGTTAAAACCAAACCAATCTTAATTTACAAAACTTATATATTAGGTAGGGAATGATAACCGGGTGAATAAGGAATATGAACGTCTCTGACCATTGCTAAGGATGAATCAACTCATATATGCCATACATTTGAAAAACAATCAACACAAAAATAACATAAACGATCTGTATATGAAATGTTTTTGTAAATAAATATGCATACACATACCAATAGAACGAATATCAGGTTTCGAATTTCATCTCTTATCCATCCTGTATTTAAATCGGGTTAAAGAATAACTTGATATCAATCATATTTTAAATTTTTAACACCCTATTCGCTTCACATAAGATATAGTGAGACAAGCTCCCACAAAGACTTATCTTTGTTTCCATCCCTAACCATGACCCAAAAGTTTAAAAACTCATTGAGAAATGTCGGATAGTTTACATTTGGGACATAGAACGCAAGATGCTTCTAAAACTAGACTTGTGAAGGTAGAAACAGTTGAAATATAAAAGATTTCGAGACCATACGAGCCAACCTTCAGTATCAACTGATCAAAAACATATTTGCAGATTCATTTACATGTTCCTTTGAAAAACAAAGATTGTTAAGGTCGCACAAGCCAAATCAGTCAAACGAATACCCGTATATTCTTGTGAGGTCGTTTAGTGATCGACTCTAATCAAACAAATTGTACTGATAACTTCATATTTTTATTACTTTAGTTCTAGACTGAAATAACTTTAAAGAACAAATACTATATACACAAAATAAATTAAAAGTCAAGCAACTAAATTTATGCATTGAGGGCATGGCTATTTTCATAGTTACCACAAAATAAACTTCTTATCATCCTAACCCTAGCCCTAACTCTTCTACATAGCCCACTTATTGCCACCCCGGCTCCTTATTATCATTTATTGTGCTATGTTTGTACAACCAGATGAAGGGTTGGGTTCATGTGAGACAAAACTGTTTTCGTGAGACAACATTTTTTACATTTGAAACTTCATAACAAAATGTTGTGAAGGTAAAAAAACTGAATCTTCACAGCAAAAACACTGTGAATGTTACTTTCACAGTGTTTTACTGTGAAGTTTCAAGTGTAAAAATGTTGTTTCACATGACCTTGTCTCACATGATCCCAAGTCATCAGATGAATGTTTTAATAAGGAGTAATTTGGTAATGATTTCTGTGAGTATTCATAATTTGTAAAATTATCATTTATATATTATTTTAATACAAAATCATTTTACCGATACTTTTTTTCTATTTCAACAATAAAATCGGTTAAATGGTTTAAAGTTGCACAAAATATATTCATACGTTTAGATTTTTATCCATGTTAAATAAATTTATTGTTTATGAAATTTAATGTACAAAAAAGTGTTGGTGACTCAATCTAATCGGATAAGAGTCTTTTCTTTCATATACACGGTAAAACTTTCGGTTCTTGATGTACCTCTTACTGGGTAAGATTCATTGTACTTGCGATGCTCACTTGGTAAGGTAATTGACAACCGCTAAACGTTTTGTAAAACATCCCTTCGTTAATGTTGACAAAGTATAAAAAAGTAGGTTGAGAGACTGAAAGCTGGAAAATTAAAAGTTAAGAGGTAAAACATGCAATTAGTGAATACTATCGAGACCATTTTTGTAATTAGCACAAAAAAGTAGAGCAAACTACAAATTAGGTTCACGTGGTTTGTCGAAAATAATATCTTTCGTTCATGTAGTTTCGAAATTACAAGATAATCATCGTGGTTTGCAAATAATGTTCAGATTTGCTCCTTCTTTCTAATGACCGTTAAAAATTCCGTTAAATGAGAAGTGTTTTTGTTATTTTATCAGTTTTTCTGTCTTTTACCCATTTAGAATAGATTTTATGATTTTGGTTTTTGATTGGGTACAAGACAAAAGTAACCGATAAAAGAACGAAAATGTTCCTCATCTAATGAATTTTTCTTAACGACTATTAGAAGGAGGAACCAAATCTAGAGTTTTTTTGTAAACTACTAGCCATCTTGTAATTTCAAAACTATAGAGTCAGAAAGTGTTATTTTCGATAAACCATAGGGACTAAATTTGTAGTTTATTCCAAAAAATATAAAGGAGAAAATGGTAATTCGCTTAGCATCTAATTTTCACAAATAACATCGTCTTCTCTAACAAATGAGGGTAGATTAGTCATTTCACTAACTCCACCAGTTTGCCGATTTATACTAGAGAGAGAGATCTGAATATGGTGGAGAAGAAAAATGCTAGATCCAGCAATGGAATTGCTTCCGCCACTCTCATCTCCTACGATATCTTCAATCTCATCCTCCGATCTCGACACTGAGTCAACTGGGTCATTCTTCCATGACCGTAGCACAAGCTTAGGCACTCTAATGGGCGTCGCAACCACTTTTCCCACCATCACATTCAGGGTTCCATCCCAGCGTCGCGACGGCACGCCCACTGTCACTCTCCGATCGTCGCCGAGTAATAATGATTCTTCCGTCGGATTTGGTGGACGGAGAAGGAGGAACAGTGCGGCGGATTTGGTGTCTGAACGGCGGCGGAAGAGGTTGAGGAGGAGGAGGTGGTGGTGGTTGTGTAGTGGTGATGATTTGAAGCCGTCGTCGCTTGGGGAGTTTCTGGAGGTCGAGCGGAGGTTTGGGGAAGAGGCATTGTTTGATGGTGAAGCTGTGATGAATATGGAGGTGGATGATCGTCATAGGGATAATGAGGGTATGTTATTTGCTGATGGGAGGGTTTTACCGCCACCTCCGCCGCCGTCGTCTGACGTTGACGACGGAACGACCTTTGTTTGTTCCATTTGTAGGTTTTCAGTTTCGCTGGCCGGAATCTGCAGCGGCGGTGGTGGATAAGAACTTCACCTGTAGATTTTAGTAGATTTGTTGGTCAAAGCTGGGTGCCATTTTCGTCCCCAATGTATGTATGTAGGAATATATGACATTGTAGCCCCCGATTCAATCAATAAAATGACTGATTGCTGATTTTCTCAACCATTAGAAACATCCCCAACAATCAGGTGGTTCACAATCACAGATTCATAGCCATTTCCAAAGAGTATGTTCATTATTGATGCCTCTGCAATTGCATTTCTCTTAGAATTGGGGAAGATTTTAGGGTTTTCATTTCATACGCATAGTTTAATAATTTACCAATCTTGTATCATCTTGTTGTTCTTGTTAATTGAGAGTGAGGTATGTATATGATAGAATAATGGAAGGTTTTATGCTTTTAATTTGACATGAGTAGTATAATAATTTACCAATTTTTGATCAGACAAAAAACAATCCATGGTCATTGTCTCGTCTGTTTGATTGATTTTTTATTAAGTCTTGAATGGATAAATCTGGAGAAGTTGTAGTTTGGAGGGTTTTTTCGTCTATAGAAGAGAGCATGTTCTTTAATTGGGAGGGCAAGTTTAGAAAAAAATTGGGTTTTGTATAAATCCCCCCTAGAATCTTACTAAATAAGTCACTTTCTATATCGTTAAGCTGCTACCAAACAGTGATATATAGCTGACTGAATAAGTTGTTAGTCTCATTAAGCTGCTAACAAACATTCCTTCAGTATAGCTTGTTTGTAATTGATTGCAACAAGAAACTTCATGAAAGCAGGGTTGGTAAAGATAGAACCAGATAACTTGTTTGTAATTGATTGTAACGAAGATATCTCTTACGTTTTTGTTTTTGACAAGATAACTCCCAAGCTTTTGCCAAGCAGTTGGCATTTCCGGGAAGAAGTTGATTTCAAGATGAATGCAGATAGTTCGTTTGAACGAGAACAATTATACCGGTGAGTGGCTCCGGGATGAAAAACGCTCAACCATTTCAGCTTTCTCTAAGCATTTTAAAAGAGGTTCACTTGAGGCTGAATGAATGCCCTATTTGCAGGTAATCTAATTGTCTTCAATTTAGGTTAACAACAAACTTATGCTTGAATGTGATTCTCGTGTGGTCGTTGATATCATTAAGGGCGTGTTTGGTACACAGGTTCGGACAAGACAAACGAGAGTGGTCAGGGACTGTGTGGTTGGTTTTCCATTAAGTCCTATACGGATAAAGCTATTTGTGTGGATTAATCTGTATGTAAAGATTGGGAAGGTTTTTGTTTGGGAGGGTTTTTCATAGATGGAAGGAGCATGTTTTAAAAACTTGGCTTTTTGCATAAAGTTCCCCCTAAAAGCTTAATGAATAAGCCACTTTCTATATTATTAAGCCACTACCAAACAGTCATATATAGCATACCGAATAAGCTGTGAGTCTCATTAAGCTCATTAAGCGCCTGACAAATAGACCCTTAGGCGGGTTGCTGGTAAAAGAATTGTGGAAGATGTTAGTGTTTTAATTTGACAATTCGACATGGATAGTTTAGCTTTTTACCAATCTTGTCACATCTCCCACGGTGGGCCTGAGAAAAAATGCATTTGTGTTCTGAGGTATGCTAAAGGCATATTGGCATACCTATTTACTAATTTCATCCTCACATACATCAACATCAAGAGTAACCTTTTGCATTTTCAATGTATGATTTGACCTGATTTTGATATAAATAGGTGTGCATATAGCAACACCCTTTTGTCCCACTGAGGTTCAGTCCTGTCCCGATCTAATGTCGTACTAAATGTGGGACAACAAGTTTTTGTACTGTCCTGTCATGCTTACATGGAAAATATAACTGGCTTGTTCATTTTCTTGCAAAGAGTTACAGCACTGCAGATGCCATTAATTAATCAGACTCCACATTAAGTTTGGAAGTTCCAAACCACATCAGAAGGATCACAGCAGAAGGAAAAGATGGTAAAGTTTAATTTCAACCCATTCAAGCTGTAGTTTCCCCTGATAGAATGCTTTGCTTTCTTTCTAATATGTTTGCATCTTTAATCAAGATTGACCATCTATTTTAGCAATTCACATGTGAATACCAACACCATGTTTATGCGCTCCCTAAAAGTGATCCCAAGCTTTCCCCTGGAAATGGGTGATCCTAAGCTAATTATAGGCTTCCTCAGCCCTGTGGTAAAAGTGATCACTCCTATGCCCAAAGTAATCCTAACAAATTGTGACCGTAAGACACCAATTCTGATAAACTCAGTGATTCGTCTGTTGGTAGTGTGTTTGATAAGAAAAGGCTAAACCTTTTTTGGTGAACAAAATCTGTTCTTTGGTAGCCTCATGAAAGTCCAAAAGCGGATTCACATGTTAAGGTCTAAGATTATCTTCAACAGATTCTCCGTAACGGAGATTTGGACCAAGTTTTTTGCTCCAACCGATTCTCCAAAATGGAAAAACTGTTGGGAGTTAATTTTTTTTTTAAAATTTTGAATTTCGATTCTCTATTGGAATTTTCTTGAAAAAGTGGTGGAAATGATCTGAAAAGGCCAAAAGTGGATGTACCATCTGGGAATACTGTTGCATCCTTTCCATTAATGTTACTAGCATAACTAACACTTCAGTGCACTTCAAATTGGGTATTACTTTTCTCATACTCCAGTGACCTATCTAATTCTTCTGTGGGAAATCGATCAAAATAGCCAATTTTTCTCGACAAAATTAACTTTTTAGTCATTTTTTGATTAAATTCTTATTTTAGCAAGAGTTTACACAAATACATCATGCATTTTGCGTAAAGCTCATTTTCAGCTTTAAGAAAAATCAAACACATCTTCACGTAAATTTGCGTAAGGATCCCATTTGTAGAAAGAATTTTTTTAGTCTGAAAACAGGCTTTAAGCAAATGCACAAGGCATTTGCATAAACTTTGGCTAAAATGAGAATTCAATACCAAAAGTGAAAATAAATTTGGTTAAGGAGATTGACTATTTTGTTCAATTGAGGTATGCTTTTGACATTTTAGGGGCCGTTTACTAAACGCTAACCCGGTAAGTACTTGCCGGCGAATTTTCCTCACCCGATGAACATGACAACGGCCAAGAATCTTACCCGGTAAGAGCGATGATAAGGATGAAGAGTTTTATCCGGTAAATGAGGGTGACGACTCTTACCTGGGTAAGCACTTACCAGGTAAATTGTTGTATAGGATATGTTTTGATGTACTACCAATCTTATCCAATAAAATAAATTATAGTGTTGACTCCTAACGTTAAGCACTTACCAGGTAAGCATTTAGGTAAACGGCTCCTTAGTACACACCACCTTTTTTTTTCCCAACTAAAGGTTTTTTTTTTTTTTAATTAACCTGGATATCCAATCCGCTATGCGAGCCGACTAATCGTCAGAGTCACCGCATTTGAACTTCCGTGGTCATAAGGGGATTTTTATTGCTCCTTGGATTTGAACTTGGGACCTCCTAGTACTTTTGACCTTTGGAGCCAAGCTCAAACCAATCAGGCACCACCCTTGTGGTTCTAAAGGTTATTTTGTTAATGCAATTAGTTAATTGACATTCTTATTATGCGGTGGAGGCATCTTACCTTCCCCAGATCCCATTTCCGAGTGGGATTTCTTGTGTAGTTTCAGTTTGGTTTATTCTTCCAGGTTATGGATCCGTTCGGGGAGTTGGGCCATGACATATTAAAAACTTTTTGTCTCATCTTTGGCATGAGGATAGTGAGACAAGACAGTACTAAGTGGAACGCATGCGTCTTTTTGTCCCACCAAAATATGTGGGGAAAAACTAGGCAGATGAGACAAGATTGGTAAATTACTAAACTATTAATGGTAAATTAAATGGAAAAGTACAATAAAAATCAATAGACTTTCTTGTTTACAATGATTAAGTCCTTATACTTTTTTTTGGGAACAAATAAGTCCTTGTACATTCCAAAACATGTTAAATAAGTCATTGGACAATTTTTTGGAACAAATAAGTCCTTGGACATTCCAAAACATGTTAAATAAGTCATTGGACAATTTTTTGGAACAAATAAGTCCTTGGACATTCCAAAATATGTTAAATAAGTCCTTGGACAATTTTTTGCAACAAATAAGTCTTTGGACATTCCAAAAAATGTTAAATAACTC